CAGGGGCATGAGTCATCTTGGTGCAGAAAATTGGGCCCTGATCATATCAAGGAAGCAAATGATGAAAGCACAGCCTGTCAGGGCAAGTGTATGCATCCTCACACTGATCCAGGTGAAGCCCCAGGTAATAGTACTTCCGTATCTGAGATGGTGTGTTGACCTCCCAGATCAAGAAAACTTTAAAAAAAGAAAAAGAAAAGAAAAGAAAAGAAAGAAAGAAACTCTCACTTCCACTTTGGCAGCAGTAATAAATGCTTCACTATGGAAAGAAATGGACACAGAAAAAGAGAAATCAAATGTGCATTTCTTTCCTGGATTAGCCAGCTTTTTAGAAAGAAACTTTTTAGAAAAAAAAAAAAACTGGTCTCAGTTTCTTTATCTGTGAAATAGGGATGCTTGTACCTTGTCACGGAGTGGTATAGGTCAAGGAGATAACTTGCATGTTAAAGCACCATACTCAGAATAGCTGTTCACTTCCCTGCACTGCAGGATGCAAACCTGGCAATTGGCATTGGCAATTTTGACATATTCTTCATAGTCTCTGATTTTCACATCAGTAAAATTAGAATGACATGCTATACATAGGATTGCTGAGAGGACTAGATGAGATGATGTACACAAAGAGTTTTATGAAACACACAAAAAAACTACTAAACTAGGGGTTAGTAAATGACAGTCCATGGGTCAAATTCAGTCCATCACTTCTGTGTGTGTGTGTGGGGGGGGTATCACACACACAAAAAAAAATAATACCAGTGGTTTTTAAATTTTTAAATGGTTGAAAAAATCAACAGAAGATACTTTCATGATATGAAAATTCAAATTTCAATATCCATAGGTAAAATTATTGGGACATATCCACACGCATTTGTTTAGCTAATATCGATAGCTGCTTTAGCACTGCAGTGGCAGACTTTACTTGTGGCAGAGACCATATAATGGCCTACAAAGCTGAGAACATTTACTGTCTGGTCCTGTGTAGAAAAGGTTTGCCTACTCCTAACTTAAATCAAATGTAGTGACAAAAAGCGTACAGATTTGAGTTGTTTACTTTGCATTTCTATTTGGGATTGCTTTTAAGATATTGGGAAAGTGCCTGCTACATAATATAAGGATGTACAAGATGTTGCAGTAGATGTTCCTTTATTCAATTATTAATTCAATAAATCATTTTTTTTTTTTGGTGCATCTTGTATGCCAGACACTGCTGCAAGGACCGTGGTGTACAGCAGTGAACATAACAGACAAAATGTCTGGGCTCAAGGTGCAGACAGTAAACACACAAGTAAATAAATAAAGCACAGTAATGGCTAGGGAGATGGAGAAGAGAAAGTTTCAGGACAGAGGTTGCAATGTTTGGGCCAGGGAAGCCCTCAATGAGAAGGTGGCATTTGGGTGAACATCTGGAAGACCCAAGGGAGCCCTGGAGATATTGGGATCAGGGAGAATGAGAAGCCCTGTAGTGTTCCCGGAAGTGACAAGGCTAAGTGTGCTCAAGGGATGCCAAGAAGTGGGTGTGGTGGGAATGGAGTGAGCAAGAGGGAGAAGAGCAGGAGATGAAGTTAGGAAGGCACCAGGCAAGCTTAGGTCAGGCTTTGAGAACCATTCAGGGACTGGGCTTTTCTCTAAGTGGGAGAGGAAGCAAGAGTTGAGCAAAAAAGCAGCAGGGCCTGGCGGGCACTGGATCCTGACCTGTCTGGCTGCTCCAGTGTAGGGAGGGTGAAAGCAGAGTCTAGAGGGTGCCTCATTGTTCCTGGGAGAAGCAAAGATGGCTTGAAGTCAAGGGACAGTGAGGGAGTGGTGGGAGGTAGATACATGGGTCATATGATTGGCCTTCTGTATCATTGATTCAACTAATCACAGATCAAAAATATTGGGTGGGGGGAATTTCATCTATACTGAACACACACAGACGTCTTGTCATTACTTCCCAAACAATACAGTGTAGCAACTTGTGGCACAGTATGTCCATTGGACTAAGTATTATAAATAATCGAGATGATTTAAAGAATACAGAAGGGTGTGCATAGATGATATGTGAACACCAAGCCATTTTATATGAGACTTTTGCATCTGCAGAATTAGGTCTCTGTGGGATGCCTAGATCCAATCCCCTATGGATATCAGGTGATGACAATATTTGGAAAGTGGTGCCAAAAGGATCTAAGGATGGGTTGGGTGTGGGTTGTGAGAAAAATAAAAGATAAAGATGACTCCATGTTTCCTGCCCCAGGCTACTACTAGAAAAATATAGTGGCCATCAACCTGGGAAGAGAAAGTTGCAGAATAGGCACATTTGTCATTGAGTGATGGGGACGGGGAGAGGGTGTGTGCCGAATCAGATGCAGGGAAGTTGATGGCATGGAAATGTTCAGTTGGAAATGCTGCTAACAGCACGTCTAAACATCCCAGGGCAGGTGTGCAGTGGAGTGTGGAATACTGGAGTTCAGGAAAGAGATCCAGGCTGGAGATGAGAATTTAGGAGTTGTCTAAGGGTAGATAGGATGTAGCATCGTGGTTATATCTGTTTGGCATTATAGGATGATTCCATACAAATCAAAAAAAGTACATTTCCATCCAATAGGGTCTGAAGAGTAGACAAAAAGTGAGGTGAATATCAGGAACAAGTATAAAAAGTACCATTAGCAATTATAATTTGAATTGCTCCCAGTTTGCCTAATTGAGGAAACAGTCTTACTGTGAGTCAGATTATACTGTCTTAAGTTGATTTGCAAAGAAATCAATTATAGTTTTATGGTATTAAATTTGGGAAATATTGCATATTATCTCTGTGGAAATTAATAAGCCACTTGATGGGTACACATTAGTTAAGACAAGATTAGGAAGATAAAACTGCCTCTGATTTATGAACAAACAGAATGTGATGTATCAGAAGCCCACAGGTTAGCTCTGACAATTTAATTTCTACTGAGTCTCATAAATGCTTTAGGTTTTTAAAAAAATTATTATTTATTTATTTCATGTATTTATTTTTGCTAGCATGACCTCATTTTTTATTTAAAAAAATAAAACAACTCTGATTTTGGACATGATTCAAGCCATGGATGGACCCAATGACTGCCTCTTCTTCCTAAGGCACAATTTCTCCACCTTTCTTTAATAGCTGCCTCCCCCAACCAAGGAGCCCTTTCATACATTCCCTTTAATCTTTATCCCATGAAATGTTTTATTGTAGTAAAATATACATCACACAATATTTATCACTATGACCACTTGTAGATGTACAGTTGTCATTAAATACATTTATAATGTTACATAATCATCACCACTATTTATACCCAGAACTTTTTCATCATCTCAAACGTAAACTCCCTATTCTCCACTCCCCTCAGTCCCTGGTAACCTGCATTGTAGTTTCTGTCTCTGAATTTGCCTATTTTCGATGTGTCATATAAGTGGAAACTACAACATTTGTCCCATATCTGGCTTAATCCATTTAGCTTGTTTTCGGTGTTCATCCATGTTGCAACATGTATCAAAAGTTCATTCCTCTTTATGGCTAAATAATATTCCATTGCCAGTATATCCAACATCATATTTATTCATTCATCTGTTGATGGACAGTTGGATTATTTCATCCTTCTGGCTGATAGAACATTGATGTACAAATATTTTAGAGTTTCTGCTTTCTATTATTTTGCTGCATACCTAGGAATGGAATTGCTGAGCCATGAAGTTCTGATACCACAGACATAGTGTATATCTTTTTATGTGCATGCATTTATAATATATACACATGCATGATTTTAGCTGTGTATGTATATGCTTTCTACATTTAAAAAGTAAGAGTGTTTTACTAACACCCCAAAATGAATTTTGACTTCCATGGGGGTCGGGGGTTATCTTCATGGATAATACAAGCTCTGAAACCCCAGGTTTCCTTCTTCAATGAATTTATGTGTAGGTAATGAATATGTTTAGTACACTCCTTAAAGAGTGAAATCATGGAAAATGAGATGACCCCAGAATACATTAGTTTAAAAAGTAATTTTATTCCTAGTATACTACAGTTATTCATATTTTATTTGGTCTTCAAAATTGACAACATTCAATAGAGTAATGAACTCCAAAATATTTTTGAAAAACAGCTATGAACAGTCTTGTCAGGACCAAGCCAGTGGCTCAGTTACTCTAACAAAACTTTTGAAAGCAGAGGCAATTGATGATGTTGCCGTTCCCACTGAGCCAAAAATATCTCCAGACACAAATAGAATGATTACAAGTACATATGTAAAATGGGGAGGGGGGACGGTGAAATGAACGTAGGATGAGAAGATCAGAGGAGCAGGAAGCCTGGTGTCTGCTAGGCTCCGGGATGGTCCTGCCAGCATGCGCAGCTCGCAGTCATGTCTGGTTGGAAGGTGGTCTGGCAGGATGCCTGTGCATCCCCACCTAGATCTGGTTACAATGTGGCTGCCTAATGCTACATTGTTTCATTATGTAAAGACGAGATTAAAAAGATTGTATAACAGTTTCAAATACCTGACCAAAAGCTGTAAGTGTCCTTCAAAGACAAGGAGAGGCTGAGGAGCTGCCAGAGTGCAGACTAAGGAGACACGCCTTTAAATGTAAGGAGGGACCCTGGAGTGGGTCCTGGTACAGAAAAAGGACATTGATGGAAACAGTGGGGAATTTCAGATAAAGCCAAAGTTTCATTAATACTGCTGTACCAAGGTTGACTTCTTAGATGTACTGATGGTCCCAGGATTATACAGGATGTCAACAGGCTAAGAGTGGGACAGATGGGAATTCTCTGCCTCATATTTGCACTTCTTTCTGGGAGTCTAAAATTATTTCAAAATAAAAGGTAAAAACCACCAACCACCAGGTTTCTGGTCACTCCCAAGGATCAGAAGCCACACTTGGGACTGGCAGCTGCTGAAGAACGGTTTGATGGGGGCGTGTGTACTTGTAACCTAGCAGCTCTGACATCTGCCATGAGAGTGACGGCCTCTGTCTCCTTTCCAACTCCATGGCAGGGTGTGCTGGGTGCATCATGTCACTGGCATGTGGGTGTACCCCTTCCTGGAACACATTGGCCCTGGAGCCAGGATCATCTTCTTTGGGTCGACGACCATCTTGATGAACTTTCTGTACCTGCTGGGAGAAGTTCTGAACAACTACATCTGGGATACACAGAGAAGTAAGTATTTGGGGGCGGGAGAGGGAGGGAGGGCATAAAACAGGAGAAGTGCTGCCCACGGCAGCTGATGCAGAGACTGAGGGAAAATTCCACAGCAGCCTCTCCTTTAACCCTCGTGCTGGATCTCTTCTGAAATTCTCATTTTTATAATTACAATATTAATTTAGGAACTGTTGGAGGTTTTACCTGATAGGTTGACTACTCACTCAGTCTTATTAGCTAGTAAAACCTCCAAATCCATAAAATTTTATAGGGAAAAACATAGTATTGACAGGAAAAAATATTAGAGACATTTGCTCTGGTTATCCAAATGCTTTCTTAGCCAAAAGGACCCAAAATTTAATAGATAAGTTATGAAATGTAGCCAAGAGGTCTTGTTAAGTCACCTGGTTGTCTACTTTCTTTTATGTGGGTGCAATAGTCTCAGAGGAGTCTCACCACCACATAATTAGCACCTCAGAATGCCTCTGGCCAAATGACTCTCCAGTGGCTGTCCTCTTTGAGGTACGAAGATGGCAAAGAGGTACAGGCTTGTGAAAGGTAATACTGCATTGTTGCAAAAGCTCTCTTAACCCATGATGTGATTTCTGTTTTGTTTCCATTTATGGCAGAGCCTCCATCTGGGCAAGACGTGTAATCTTGTCCAAGCTGTGCAAAACCTGTCCAAATTGTATGTAATATAACATAAACATTGGAAGATGGAAAAAGTGATACATGTGTAGTGATTTGAATCCTGCATGAAAATACCATCCAAAGGCAAGAAGGTGTGGGGATTCTAGAAAGCTCTGGACATCTCCAACAATCACAGCATTCTAGAGGTCACCAGTAACTGGATTCTGCTCCACAAACATTGAGCACCCTACTCCATGTCAGATGCTATGCCAGGAACTCCGTCTAATACACAAATAAAGCACAGTGATTGCAGTTACTGATTCAGGCATTTTTTTGCGTGAATCTTCTAAGATTGTGTGTGTCAAGGTGTTAGCCAATGCTAAATGGCCCAGAGGAATTGAGGGTTTACTTTCTCAGCTTTTCGGTTTGATGAGTAGTCTACTGAAAAGATGTCAAAATTTTTTATTCAGTTCAGGCCACAGTTTGGGGAATCAGAAGTTATCTTTTAATAATGTTCCCTCTGTTTGATGGGAATAATAATCTTTCTCTATTAGTTAATTTATATAATTTATAGAGGCATTTAGTTAACTGAAAATATTTTGAAAACAAAATTAAGGTTTTTTTTCAGATTCTTGGAAGAAAAACTGTATTCAGATTTAATAGTCCAAGACAGGAAATATTTATGACTGTCTGTGTCCCCTTGATTTGTCTGACAGTCATTTGACCATTTTTCTAATACTTTATGAGGAGATGGCCTAAAAACCAGGAGTGATAAATATCCATTCTAGATTAAAATAATATTGCTTTTAACAACTTTGAATGAGGAGTTTAAAATGAATAGTGAAACTAAGACTTTTTCGAATGGTCTGTTCACTTTAATTGTCCTATTATCTTAAGGCACTTGAGTGAAGGCTAACATTTTACAACTCATCTCAGGTTTGAAATTAATTTTGTCTACATCTATCTAGTTGATTCCGTTGAGGCTGATGTTTTGTGTCAGGTAGGTATCTTCCCATTTACAATAGGGGATCACAAAACTGATCACCTACCCCTAAATTGTATCCACCAAGAAGTTTCACTAGGCCTACATGTGGGGCTTTGAGTTTGGAACCATCATTTAAAACTTGGGAGACCTCACATAAAGACCAGGCTTCAAATTCCTATCAAATATTTTAAGATCTAGGAATACCAAGCCCACTGTTCCCTCTATCAACCAAGAATTAGAAATGACTCTCTGCTTTAGATGGCTCTCTAATTTTCCTTAATTCTCATCTGGCACTTTACTTAGTTTCCTGGCTCATTAGTAGTTGATTTTTGAAACTGCTGATTGAACACAGAGTGTGAGTGTGTGTGTGAGTGTGTGTGTGTTGAATACAGTGGCATGCAGTGTATCATCATTACCCCACACCAGTTACTACAGAATCCCCCCAGAAGAAGGAACACTACACCTGAGCCCCCTTCCCTTGCTCCATAATGGCTTTTGTGACTTGACTTCCTTGACTTAGTTTTGTCAACTCTAACTTCAAGATAAAATCACATGATTGCATTATTGTGTAAGCTTATTGCTGAAAAAGAGATCAGGAATCATCTAAACCAACATTTTCCTCTTACCAAAGTCAGCTGAGGCTCAGAAATCTTAAAGCCCCCAGAGGGTCATACCAAAATAGAGGCACCTACCAAAATAGTTGGTGGCAGAGCCAATACCTTCTAGCCAAGGTTCAGTCCAGTGCTATTGCTAGTGAAGCATCAGCACGCCTTCATGTTTAGAAATCCAGACATATGAGAACTCAGAGACTTCATCAGAACCACAGACCTTGCCTATATAATTGCAAAACAGGCTAAGCTGATAGGAAATATAAATTTTTAAAAGCCCTTAAAATAGGCTAAGTTAAAAATCAAGCATTTGCTCTTTTTATAATAAAATAACTCAAGATGGTTTCATGGAAGTTTAGTTTACTAAGGCTGTGGGAACAGAGTCCCACAAGCTGGGTGGCTTAACAACAGAAATTCATTAGCTCACATATCTAGGGACTGGAAGTCCAAAATCCAAGGTATTGGCATAATTGGTTCCTCTGTGAGGGAAGTATCTGTTCCCGACGTCTCCTTGGCTTACGGTTACCCATCTTCCTTTACTTGTGTTCTCCCTGTATGTGAGATAGCTCCCCAACTTCCCCTTTTTCTGAGGACATAAGTCATATTTGATGAGGGCCCACCCTGATGACTTTCATTTAATTTTGTGAAGACCCTATACAAAAAAGGTCACATTCTGAGAATCCAGCGGTTCAGAATTCAACATGAGAATTTTGGAGGGACATAATTCAGCCTATAATGCTCCCTGCCTCATAAAATTCATGACCTTCACACGTGCAAAATACATTCCCCTCATCCCAGTGGCCCCCAAAGTCCTTCCAACATCAACTCTTAAGTCCAAATTCTCAGCTTAATATGGTATCAATCAGGCATGGATGAGACTTGAAGTATCAGTCATCCTGAAGCAAAATTATTCTCCAGTTGCATGGAAACCTATGAAATCAAATAAGAAATTACCTGCTTGTAAGACACAATGGTGGGAGAGAAATGGCAGGGGAAAGAAGGCCCCTGGTGGTTCCCAAGAAAGTCTAAAAGCCAGCAAGGAAAATCCATCAGATTTGAAAGCTTGAGAATAATCCTCTTTGATTGGCTGTTCTGTCTTCAGGGTTCACAGGGAAGGAGGCGTGGCCCTTCCTTGGGCCCAGCAGTTGCTCCACCCCTTCAGCCCTGGGAACCAGGAGGCAGTGCCTGAGCCATCTTGACCAATGATTTTTCTCCTTCATTTCTTTGTGCTTGTCCAAAATGGCAGTGTCTCTGCTGGTAGAAAATTCCGCCCCACCCCACCCCCCCAAAAAAAAACTGGCCTCTGTGCGATTGGCCAAACCATCAGAAAAGAGGGTTAGGACTTTCACACATGAGTTGGGAAGGAGAGCCTGAGAATGCAGAACACCCCCC